CCCCCCCTGTAAAGTTAAGAATCAAAGTAATGTCTTTGTGATTAAATATTATTTTTAATAATAGTTTACTGTTATAAAATACATTTTTCATTGTTATTATTTTATAGTTTTTATGTTAATATCATTTAAAAAGTGCTTAAGTTATAATTATCCTCAATTGTCAGGAAAATAATGTACAAGTCACAATCATTATTATAGAACATCGACTTTAATTCTCTTTTGTTTGCGCCTTGTTGTTGTGCACCAGTCGTACGACCTTGTGGGGTACCGCCCGGCATGTTACCAGCTGCTGCATTTTGTTGATACATTTTAGTGAAGATGGGACCGATCTTAGCTTCTGTTTTTTTGTTTCTATGTGTATTTATCCTTTGATGCCGATTGGTTCTTGTCAACCCACAACTCAAGTGCGTTTTTGACATCAGCCTTGGTTGTTGCATTGTCTTCTGTTGATAACCTTGAAGCAAAAGGTTCATTCACTGTGGTATAACACGGTAGCAAAAGGTTCAAACTTATTCTAAGCTTCCTTCATCTTGTCGTCCTCCGCCTTGAGCTTCACTGCTTCTGCAATTATCTTGTTAATTGGTTCCTTTGAGAGTCTTCCCTAGTCGTTTGTGATCATGATTTTTTTCTTTTTTTGTTGTCTTGTCGTTAGCCGACACATTCAAAACCCCATTTGCATCAACGTCGAATGTGACTTCAACTTGTGGAACTCTGCGTGGTTAGGGTGGGATGCCAAACAACTCAAACTTGCCAAGCAGGTTGCAATGTGATGCCGTGAACGCCTCTCCCTCAAAGCCTTGGATGAACATTTTTTGTTCGTTGTCTGCATATATAAAGAATATTTGTGACTTCTTTGCTGGAATTGTTGAGTTTCGTGGAATCGATTCTGTCGTCACACTTCCAGTTGTCTTTATCTTAGGTGTAAATTTCTACAATAAGAAACAACACATCTCTTGTTGCCTTTCCACATTTCCAGTCAAAATGGCAACTTGAACAACAGCACCACAAGCAACAGTTTTATCTGGATTGATACTC